ACCATTTGTCCGACCTACCCTCTGCGGGAAGACTGGGCTCATTGGGAAAGAAACCGGACCGCAGGCTAGAGGAAATTCCTTAAGTTCAGGCTTTATTGAGAGGAAAGAGCCTCCGGGCGGGCCAGCCGGGATGAAAAGGAAAATGGCCGCGCTGCTCAGAGGGGCAGGGTTGTTTTATAGGGGGCTGAAGGGCTGGGGGGTGGGGAAGCCAAAAGCCGAGGTGGTGGGCAACTGTTGGTCAGTTTGAACTGCTGGGCGGGAAGCTGGGGGGCGGGAAGCTGGGTGGCGGGAGGGCTAGGGCCGGTATGTAAAGTGAGAGATAAGGGAGCCTCTTTGTGGGGGAGGGAAAGAGAGAGAGAGAGCTTTCGCGGTAGGGGCAGAGTTTTCCAAACATATTCCCAGATGCTATAGAAGAGTTGCATAAAACTGTGTTTTTTATGTCAACTTGACATATGCCGTTGTACCTAGTTATTAAATCAAACCCTAATTTATGTGTTGCGCTGTTATTTTTTGGATGTGATCAATATCTACAGTTTATCTGGAGTTCTGCCTCAAGACTGCAATATCAGTTCCTGCCCAAGACTTTCCAGCCTACTCTACAGATTTCAGATTGCCAACTCCTAGAATTCCAAAATCATATATGCCAATTCCTTGAAAAAAACAAAGATATCCTACTGCTCTATTTGAATAAGGAACCCTGACTGATGGACCTCGCAAAGGAATTGACTCTGTCTTCAACAAAAACTGTGGAGTGGCTCCAGGACAAGAGCACCCAAACAGAAAAAACAAAGGAACAATGGACTTAGCAGTAAAAGGCAGTTGGGAAGAGATGGGTAGATTCATTGGAGAAACAAGTTAAACGGTAGGGTGATTAACTTGCCAGAGGAAACTGGGAAAAGAGACAGCTGGGAGGAGCCCTTCTTAGGTCTAAAAAAAAATCTCAAACATTGTCTTTAAAAACTATCTTTTTAAAGGAATCTGAATTTTATTGGATCAACCTGTTTTATACTAGATTACTGATAATACGGCAATCAGCTGATGATTGGGGGGGTTTTGGCACTTCACAAACCACATCAACTCCCTCTTGAAGTCTGAGGCAGGGGAACAATACAATTGAAGAGATAAGCTCCTAATTTCTCCTAATGGTCGGGAAAAACAAACAGGCAAAAAAAGGTTACCACGGTGTCACAGCTTTCTAAAACTGTGTTGCTGCTGTTGTTGTTGTTTTGAGATGGAGTGTTGTTCTGTCTTCCAGGCTGGAGTGCAGTGGGGCTATCTTGGCTCACTGCAACCTCCACCTCCCAGGTTCAAGCAATTATTCTACCTCAGCCTCCGGAGTAGCTGGAACTACAGCCCACGCCATGTCCAACTAATTTTTGTATTTTTAGTAGAGAAGGGGTTTCACCATATTGCTCAGGCCGGTCTCAAACTCCCAACCTCAGGTGATCCACCCGCCCTGGCCTGCCAAAGTGCTGGGATTCCAGGGGTGAGCCACCGCTCCAGCCTCGGGGTAAGGAATCTTGAGTCAACTCCTCATGGGCCATTAGGAAAGCTGGGTGTGCTGTTGTAAATGGTGCCTCAATTTCCTTAATCCTTGGGATTTCCCCCCTTAGGAAAACGAAAGGGAAAGACCGAATTAAATGAACTCCTTGCTTTTATCCAGCTCCAGGAATCCCAGATTCTCAATGATCTTAAATTGATTTAAGAGAGCCCACTGTCCTTTCAGGGTGGACTGAAGAAGGTTCTCGGGGAACTCCCTTGTTTCCTTTGATATATTTTCTCTTTTATCTTCTATTCCTTTGGGGATAAAAGTAAAAGAAACAAAAATAGGGGCACAAAATGCAACACGAACTGCCCCACTTACCCTTCAAAACCTTCCAGTAGCTTAGATGAAAGGCAAAAGGGCTTCCAATGACCCGATTGTCCAGGGGTTCTCTCATCACCCCAGTCAGTTCTCCGGGTTTCCTGTGGACGAAAACAATCCCAATTTGCTGTTTCATGCCAGGAGCACCTTTCCTCGGCCTACAAGAGCCTGAAAATGCTTGCTACAATATCCATTGGCAACCACCGTGGACGCACCAAGAAGAATGGAATGAGCAACTGAACGTCCCTCCAGCACTGTTAGGAAGGCGGCCCGGGGCGAATGCACTGGACTGGGAAATTAAAATGGGGGCTCCAGCCTTGCGGGAGAGACGAAAGAGACTTCCGGTTTCTCCAAAACTGTCTTTTCCACCCCAGGTTAGAGGCCCTTCTTGGCTCCATGGACCCTGCCAGCCTCTTCTCTTTCCAGCCCAAGACGCTAACCCAGGATGGGAAACTACCAGGATGACCCTCTGCCAGAACTGCCAGTGCCCGTGCAAGGCGCCTGGAGCATGCCTGTCTCCGGATTTTGCCGCCAAGCACTCACCCACTGTGGATGCCGTCAGGATTTTGGCGGCCTCTGAGAGCAAGATCCCAGGGAGAAGGAAGCCCGCTAGAAGCAGCGCCCAGCTGCCCAGCCATGCCCTACTGCAGAAGCCCTGGAGCCCAGCCCTGGGCTGTGTGCCCTGCCCCAGCCTAAGGGACTCGGTGTGCCCTGTGCCGGCCTAAGGGATGCTGTGCACCAAAGGCACTGGCTATCGGCTTGAGAAGGGTAGGAGAGAAGATCCTGTCTCTCTTTTGTCTGTCTGTCTTCTCTCACCCTCTGCCCCTTCCTCAGTTTGATCCATGAGATACACTATTCTCACCCTCCCAAACCAGGAGCAGTGGAAAAAGGGAATTGGTGAACTGAACCCTTAACCCTGTCCTAACCATGCAAGCACCAGTCTCCCCTCCTAAATATCAGTATGAACCAAGAACAGTAGGGACCCTAAGAAACCACATGGATGACAGCTGCACCTTGAGGTGACAAGGACCATCTCCCTTTTATGGATCCTTTCCTGAACTAATGTTGCCACACTTCCTTTCTTACTCCGATGACCTTGTCAGACTCAAATAACTTTCACTGAGAGAGGCTCTCTAAAAGAAACCTTTTGGAGGCCATCTTTAAAAGAAATGGACATCGCAATGGGAATACACATGGGCATATTCAGGGAGATAAAGGAAGATACGGCTTTTTACATGAAAAATGAGAATGGTTAGATACGTTGTTTTTAGACAATTATCCTTGGCTAGAAGGATCAATAACAAGGGTGACATCTTACCTATCAGTCCAAAGTAAGATAGCAGTTGCTGGGCAGATATCCTCAGAGATGTATATTTTTGTGTAAGGGTGCAGTGGCCTAACTGCGAGGTTGTGGTTTTTGGACTCTTATGTGATAGTTCTTGTTATCAGGCATACTGCATGAGAACCTCCCTTCATGGCCTTTCCTGGCTCCACTGGTTAGGGTTTTAACACAGGTGACTCCATTTTGATTTTGACAACTTTCACAACGTTATACTAACATCCCTATGCTCCATTTTTCCAGATACGTGCATAAAATTTCTAACTAGTGTCCCAAGCTCAAGAACTCTGGAAGCCAATCCTCAAGAGAACTCGATCTACCAAGGGGAAATGGCCTACGATTATTACTCAGGCAGCCTCTCTAGAAGATACCATATTCATAAAATGATTCTAGTGTCCAAACAGTTTAAGCCCCCCATAACTTCACTTCTTCATTGAAAGCATGAATCTCTAGAGTTTAGATTATAATCCTGAATAAGTATCATAAACTGGAATTGGGGCTCTTTCCACAGTCCTCTCAGGGACAATTTGAAAACAGCTTACAATTTTGCCACCTCAAAATATCAGTCCTGGCAAGGTGTGGGCACACTACTCCCAAATATCATCTTTGCATTCTCTATCATCAATATAGTGCTGCCTTAAATAAAGGATTTCAGCGCAGTTCCCAACAGGCAGAACCAGGCACAGTGGCATGCACCTGTCATCCCAGCTACTGGGGAAGCTGAGGCAGGAGGATGGCTAGAGTCCAGGAGTTTGAGGTCAGCCTGGGCAACATGTTGAGATCCTGTATCTAAAAAACAACAGAAAGACAGAGAAATGCTTTGATGCCTACAAGAGGAAGTGGGCCCTTGGATTCTGCTTTGTACTATTACATGTCTTCTGTCTATAAGTCTTTTTTAAAAAAAATCTGAATTTGCAATAGCAAAGACTTGGACCCAACCCAAATGCCCATCAATAATAGACTGGACAAAGAAAATGTGTCACATATACACCATGGAATACTATGCAGCCATAAAAAAGGATGAGTTCATGACCTTTGCAGGGACGTGGATGAAGCTGGAAACCGTCATTCTCAGCAAACTGACACAAGAACAGAAACTAAACACCGCATGTTCTCACTCATAAGTGGGTGTTGAACAATGAGAGCACATGGACACAGGGAGAGGAATATCACACACCAGGGCCTGTTGGGGGCGGTGGGAGAGCTAGGGGAGGGATAGCAGGGGGTGGGAGGATAGGGGAGGGATACCATTAAGGGAAATACCAAATGTAGATGACGGGGGGTGGATGCAACAAACCACCTTGGCATGTGTATACCTATGTAACAATCCTGCACGATCTGCACATGTACCCCAGAACTTAAAGTATAATAATTTTAAAAAAGGATTACAGATATTTTTTCAAATCTGAATTATTTAAAGTATTGCATCCTTAAACATTTCTGCAACATAGCCATATCCATTGTAGTGAGGAGCTGATGCGGAGGGCAGGGGAAGGCATCACAAGGCATTACCAGGCATCACAAGGCTCCAGCCCATTTATTATTTTTGGACCTCCAATAATACATTAGCAAACATTGAGACAGTCTTTCCCTACACACAGGTGGAAAAATTCACTTTTTCTCTCAGACTCAGCACAATATGATTTTTTGTACTTAGGTCTCTAGTGTATTGGAATTCAGTTTTGAATATGATGTGAAGTTTCAATCAAATATTGCCTTTTTTCTAAATAATATCCAGTTGTCCCAGCCGTATTTGTTCCAGACACTATGCCAGGTTCTGTAATAACAAGATAAATAGGAACCAGTTACTGTCTTTATGACCTTATGGTTTCTAAATAGGGAAACAGATATTGTAATGCATAATTAAAATATAGTAAGAAAAATGCTTCAAAAGAGAATGCAGTCAGCTCCTTTATGGGTGTAGTGGTCAGGCACAGGCTTACCAATGTGAACACAATAACACTGGATATTGACAAATAAGCAGAAGTTTCTTATTCTGGCAAGAGTAGCATGATATTTCTGAGAGAGGGAAGGGCATAGACAAAGCCCAGAGGCTAAAAACAGCAAAGTGTGTTCTGAGGGGGTGTAGTGAACACTTGGAAAAGAGTGGGAGGAGAATTGCTCCAGACGTGCCTAGAGAGGTAGCCAGGAACACATCACAGATTCCTCATATTCCACACAGTGGGAACAAAGAAGGATTTTAAACAGTGAGGGATAACACCAGATTTCTAGGTTGTCAGGGCCACACTTGCAGCCCTGTGGAGGGTGCTTGGAGGGAACAAGACTGGAAGCATCATTCTGGCTGACTGGCTGCTTATGATCAGATTTCAGGGATGCAAATATATACAACTGGCACAAAGTTGACCTCGATGACCACGTGTTAGGGGAAAGACTATGTGCTAGGGTTGAAGAGAAGAAGTTACTGGCCAGGGAGCCTTATCCATAGAACCTTATGTTATTCATGAGGGGAGTGAAATCGTAGCTGTTGATTCAAAACAAAACACAGAGAAGGCTCCATGTCTGCCCTTCATGGGCGTATTGCCATAGATCAATTCATGTGGTTTCATAAGAATTATAACAATAAAACTTTATGTTATATACACACACTCTAATGTACTTCTGCATGTTTCATGCTTCTGGATCTTGTGTCCTGAGAATTCACAAAATGGATAGACATGCGGCACTCAGCTTGCAGACTTGCAGGCAGATCATCTGGTGGAATTGGCAAAGGTTTTGGTGGGGGGCACTCTCCATTTCTGCAGGAGTATTTGTAACAGTTTCATCTTTTAATCTGAATTGTTTCAAGATCTGTTTCACAAATCTAGAATTAAACAATCTAAAACTATGGTTCTTCCAGGCCCACTCCATATGCCTGTTTTCTTCTCTATGTTTCTAGCTCATCAGATACCATGCATGTCACAGTTTCATTACAATGGAATTTCATTTTATTTCAGAATGCTAAGGCAAATAAAAAGGTACAATCATTTTAAGGTAAAATATTTCATGAACACCAGCTATTAGAGAGGTAGTTTGGTATTACACTAAGGAAGATCAAAAAGAAAAAATATGGGCTATTGATGAGACGATGGAGCAACCAACCACGCCAGCCCTGAATGGCTACCTTTGGGCTTGATCAAGAAAGATGAAACAAACAAAAACTCTGCGGGTGTTTATGCCATGGTTTTTCTTGCTTCTGTTCCTAGCAGATTAATGTAATCTCTAAGGTTTTACCACCTATAAGGGTATTAACTGCCATGTAGCGGATAGAAGATAGAATTTTTCTTCAATCAACAAAGTTTAAAACTACCTTAGCCGCTGGTACCTGAGGCCACAACACCTTACACACGGGTTTCCACTTCGCTACTTGAGGTTCCCTGAAATCCATTTATAAGATGGGAATCTTAAGAAGGAAACTGTAAAAACTGAAATAAAGCAGTATCAGCTGGGACCAACTGCAGTCTCCATGTCTGACCAGCAAAGGAGGTGCTCTCCAAAGAAGGGGTCTCAGGCAGTGAGCAAAGGTCTCAGCCGGGGCTCTCTCTGCCTAAATGCAGGAGAGCAGACCAACCTTCCTGAGCTTTGAGAACTTATAGGAAGAGCAAGATACATGCATAAAATGGAAGCATTTGAAATGGAAGATATATCAAATATTTTCTGTGTTTTTTATGAAAAATGATAGAAGGAGAAATGGGGACTGGAGACTGAGAAGTCATCTAAACAAGAAGGATGAAGTTTTCAGAGTCCTGTCTCTAGAAAAAGGGGGAAAGGAGGATGCAGGACTGGCAGGTGAAAGTTTGCATCTGATTTAGGGGCTCCAAGTCAAAAGAGGCAAGTCAAAAGGGGCAAGTCAAGAAGCCTGAGTAGTGCATGAAGATTTCTAAACAGAGGCAGATAATAGAAAGAAGCAAGTTGCAGGACGATTGGCAGCTGGAGCTAAAGAGAGAAAACAGGGGTGGCCTGTGCTAGGGTGGGGAGAACCTTCAAAGCACCAGGGACCCCCCTCCCCTCTCTCAAGGCTGCACCTAGCCTCATGTCATCTTCACTTTCCTGACCCCACACAGCCACCTGGCCACCATACCCAGCAACTTCCCACAAAGCCACACAGTGCCTAGAGTGAGCATCAGCAGAAACACAAAGACGTCGATGAGGTACTGCTCATGCCAAGGCTGCTGGAAGGCATAGGGCTTGAGGTGCGCCGCCCCTTTGGTCTGGAGGATGTGATCGATCCAGCCCACCAGCCGCTGTTGTGCGCTCAGGGGCTGAGAGTGCAGGATAACACTGCCTGCCACCACTGCTGACTTGTACCTGTTGGCAGAGACAAAGAGGGTGTGTTACTGACATAGCCTCACAAGACTTAGAGACTTTGTATTGTGTGAGCACACACACAAGCATACAAACACTTTCCTAACACAGGCACCAAGGCTGGGCTGCAAAGAAAGTTTGTTGGCATGGTCTTGCCATTGTCTAGCTGAATCCTCTTGAAAAGTTCAATAAAAACACCAACATACACAGATCAATGATTAATTCTAAAAGTATTAAACTGTAGGAAAGTGGTTAAATCTCTAAAAATTAGTCGATATCCCTAGGATGCTTGTGGTATGCTAAAGGAAAAAATACATATAACCATATATGAGAGAATATATACCTGATTCAGGGTTTGTGTTCCTGAAACCATAATAAGCTATTCTGTCCTTCTTGATTATAAGATCATGGGCTGGATGGGCAGTAAAAAAGGGGGTCACCAGAGGACTCAAGATGGAGCTGTGAGAACAACCCAGGATTGAGGCTCTCGCTGGATGCATGGAGAAGGTGAGTCAGGGACGCATTTCCAGATGGACCTTTGTTGCCCACAGAACGGGGAAATTCCCAGACATAAAACAAACGCGGGACGCCAGCCAGAGATCTTGACTGGTGTAGCCAGCAGCCGGTGCGGCTGAGGCCCGCGCTGGAGTGCAGAGGCACTCCACAGAGGTCCGCACAAAAGCGCACTGTGCCAGGTGCCCTGTTGAACTGGCAATCGGAGACCTGAGTGGGCTTAACTTGAGACTGAACAGGACTTGAACAGTGAGCCAGCCCAGGACAAAGCGTTAGGGGTAGCCCAGTGCGACAAACAAAACGGCGAGTCCAAACGCTCACTGTTAGGAGGTTACCTTAAAGCGCAGCTCCGTGAGGGAGGGGCGTCCACCATTACCGAGGCAATCAGCCCCTACTGAGGTACACGCCCATTGCTGATGCAGCCTGCCGTTGCCGAGGCAACCCGGTACAACAGAGAGACTCCGCCGCAGGGCGGAGCCCGCGGCTGCAGGGCGGAGACCGCAGCAGAAGGGCAGAGCTTGCAGAAACAGGGCGAACCTCACACCAGCAGGGTGGAGCCTCGGCAGGACAAGACTGCCTCCTAGCTGGGCAGGACAACCCAGCAGACACTCAAAAATAAAGCCCCAACCCCTTCAGAAAGAGCAGCTGAGAAAAAAAGGGCTTTTTTATGAGTTCTGTGGCAGCAGAATTAAACATAGCAGCCTAACAGCCCTGAATGAACATCAGAGCTCACAGCTCAGCTCTTGAGCACCTATAAAGTACAGACTGTCTCCTCAAGCAGCTCCCTGACCCCTCTATATCCAAAAGATTGACATTTGGCAGGCATCATTCTGGGACAAAGATAGCAGAAAAAGAAACTAGTAGCATCCCTACTGTTCCGCAGCTGCTATAGGTGTACCCCAGACAAGCAGGGCCTGGAGTGGACCTCTGCAGTCATACAGCGAAGGGGCTAGACTGGTAGAAGGAAAACCAAGTAACAGAAATACTTCATCATCAACAATCTGGGTGTCCACCGAGAGACCCAATCGAAAAGTCAGCAACTACACAGACTACAGGTGGATAAATCCACAAAGATGGGAAGAAACCAGTGCAAAAAGGAGGAAAACACCCAAAACCAGAACACCTCGCCTCCTAGAAAGGACCAAAACTCCTCACCAGCAAGGGAACAAAGCTGGATGGAGAATGACTGTGATGAAATGACGGAATTAGACTTCAGAAGGTGGATAATGAGAAACTTTTGTGAGCTAAAAGAACATATTTCAAATCAATGCAAAGAAACTAAGAACCTTGAAAAAAGATTCAAGGAAATGATAACAAGAATGGATAACTTAGAGAGGAATATGAATGAATTAAAGGAGATGAAAAACACAATACGAGAACTTTGCGAAGCATGCACAAGTTTCAATAGCTGAATTGACCAAGCAGAAGAAAGAATTTCAGAAGTCGAAGATCAACCCAATGAAATAAAACGAAAACCAAGATCAGAGAAAAAAGTGCAAAAAGGAATGAACAAAGTCTCCAAGAAATGTGGGACTATGTGAAGAGACCTAACCTACGTTTCATAGGCGTACCAGAATGTGACAAAGAGAATGAATCCAAGCTGGAAAATACTCTTCAGGACATTATCCAGGAAAATTTCCCCCACCTAGCAAGACAGGCCAACACTCAATTGCAGGAAATACAGAGAACACCACAAAGATATTCTGCAAGAAGAGCAACCCCAGGCACATAATCATCAGATTCAACAAGGTTGAAATAAAGGAGAAAATACTAAGGGCAGCCAGAGAGAAAGGTCGGGTCACCCAAAAAGGGAAGCCCATCAGACTCACAGCAGATCTCTCGGCAGAAACTCTGCAAGCCAGAAGAGAGTGGGGGCCAATATTCAACATCCTTAAAGAAAAGAACTTTCAACCCAGAATTTCATATCCAGCCAAACTGAGCTTCAGAAGTGAAGGAAAAATAAAATCCTTTGTGAACAAGCAAGTACTCAGAGATTTTGTCACCACCAGGCCTGCTTTAAAAGAGCTCCTGAAAGAGGCACTACACATAGAAAGGAACAACCAGTACCAGCCATTCCAAAATCACACTAATTGCTAAAGAGCATCAACATAATGAAGAATCTACAACAACTAACGGGCAAAACAGCCAGCTAGCATCAAAATGGCAGTATCAAATTCACACATAACAATACTAACCCTAAATGTAAATGGACTAAATGCACCAATCAAAAGACACAGACTGGCAAATTGGATAAAAATCCAAAACCCAACAGTGTGCTGTATCCAGGAAACCCATCTCACATGCAAGGATACACAAAGGCTCAAAATTAAGGGATGGAGGAAGATTTACCAAGCAAATGGAGAACAAAAAAAAGCAGGAGTTGCAATTCTCATCTCTGATAAAATAGACTTAAAAGCAACAATGATCAAAAGAGACAAAGAAGGCCACTACATAATGGTAAAAGGATCGATACAACAAGAAGAGCTAATGATCCTAAACATATATGGACCCAACACAGGAGCACCCAGATACATAAGGCAAGTTCTTAAAGACTTACAAAGAGACTTAGACTCCCACACAATTATAGTGGGAGACTTTAACACCCCACTGTCAATATTAGACAGATCAGACAGAAAATCAACAAGGATACCCAGGGCTTGAACTCAGACCTGGAACAAGCAAACCTGATAGACATCTACAGAACTCTCCACCCCCAATTCACAGAATATACATTCTTCTCAGCACCACATCAAACCTACTCTAAAATTAACCACATAATTGGAAGTAAAGCACTGCTCAGCAAATGCAAAACAACTGAAATCATAACAAACAGCCTCTCAGACCATAGTGCAATCAAGTTAGAACTCAGAATTCAGAAACCAACCCAAAACCACACAGCTTCATGGAAACTGAACAACTGGCTCTTGAATGTTGACTGGATAAACAATGAAATGAAGGCAGAAATAAAGAAGTTTTTCAAAACCAAAGAGAATGAAGACACAACATGCCAGAATCTCTGGGACACATTAAAAGCAGTCTCTAGAGGAAAGTACATAGAAATAAGTGCCCATATGAGAAGAATGGAGAGATCCAAAATTGACACACTATCATCAAAATTGAAAGAGCTAGAGAAGCAAGATCAAAAAAACTCAAAACCCAGCAGAAGACAAGAAATAACTAAGATCAAAGCTAAACTGAAGGAGATTGAGACACGAAAAACCCTCCAAAAAATTAATAAATCCAAGAGCTGGTTTTTTGAAAAGATCAACAAAATAGACAGACCACTAGCTAGATTGATTAAAAAGAAAAGAGAGAACAACCAAATAGATGCAATAAAGAATGATAAAGGGGAAATCACCACAGATTCCACAGAAATTCAAACCATCATCAGATAATATTACAAACAACTCTACGCACATAAGCTAGCAAACCAGGAAGAAATGGATAAATTCCTGGACTCCTGTGTCCTCCCAAGCCTAAACCAGGAGGAAGCTGAAACTATGAATAGACCAATAACAAGGGCAGAAGTTGAGGCAGCAATTAAGAGCCTACCACACAAAAAAAAGCCCAGGTCCAGACGGGTTCACAGCCGAATTCTACCAGACACACAAAGAGGAGCTGGTACCATTCCTTCTGAAACTATTCCAAATAATCCAAAAAGAAGGAATCCTTCCCAAATCATTCTATGAGACCAATATCATCCTGATACCAAAACCCGGCAGAGACCCAACAAGAAAAGAAAACTTCAGGCCAATATCCATGATGAACATAGATGCAAAAATCTTCAATAAAATATTGGCAAGCCAATTGCACAGCAAATCAAGAAACTTATTCATCATGATCAAGTAGGATTCATCCCGGGGATACAAGGCTGGTTCAACATACACAAGTCTATCAACGTAATTCACCACATAAACAGAACCAAAAACAAAAACCACATGATTATCTCAATTGACGCAGAGAAGGCATTTGACAAAATTCAACAGCCCTTTATGCTAAAAACCCTCAATAAACTCTGTATCGATGGAACGTATCTCAAAATAATAAAAGCTATTTATGACAAACCAACAGCCAATATCATACTTAATGGGCAAAAACTGGAAGCATTCCCTTTGAAATCTGGCACTAGACAAGGATGCCCTCTTTCACCACTCCTATTCAATATAGTACTGGAAGTTCTAGCCATAGCAATCAGGCAAGAAAAAGAAATAAAGGGTATTCAAATAGGAAAGGAGGAAGCCAAATTGTCTCTATTTGCAGACGACATGATAGTATACCTAGAAGACCCCATGGCCTCAGCCCAAAAACTCCTGAAACTGATAAGCAACTTCAGCAAAGTCTCAGGATATAAAATCAATGTGCAAAAATCACAAGCCTTCCTCTACACCAATAACAGACTTAAAGAGAGCCAAATCAAGAACGAACTGCCATTCACAATTGCTACAAAAAGAATAAAATACCTTGGAATACAACTCACAAGGAATGTAAGGAACCTCTTCAAGGAAAACTACAAACCACTGCTCAACGAAGTCAGAGAGGACACAAACAGATGGAGAAACATTCCATGTTCACGGTTAGGAAGAATTAATATCGTAAAAATGGCTATACTGCCCAAAGTAATTTACAGAATCAATGCTATACCCATCAAGCTACCATTGACTTTCTTCACAGAACTGGAGAAAACCACCACGAACTTCATATGGAACCAAAGGAGAACCCGCATAGCCAAGTCAATTGTAAGCAAAAAGAACACAGCGGGGGGCATCACACTACCGGATTTCAAACTACACTACAAGGCTACTGTAATCAAAACAGTATGGTAATGGTACCAAAACAGAGATATAGACCAATGGAACAGAACAGAGGCAACAAAGGCAACACAACATATCTACAACCATACAATCTTTGATAAACCTGACAAAAACAAGCAATGGGGAAAGGACTCCCTGTTTAACAAATGGTGTTGGGAAAACTGGCTAGCCATGTGCAGAAAGCAGAAACTGGACCCCTTCCTGACACCTTACACTAAAATTAACTCCAGATGGATTAAAGACTTAAACATAAGACCTGGCACAATAAAAACCCTAGAAGGAAATCTAGGTAAAACTATCCAGGACATAGGAGTAGGCAAGGACTTCATGAACAAAACACCAAAAGCATTGGCAACAAAAGCCAAAATAGACAAATTGGACCTAATGAAACTCCACAGCTTCTGCACAGCAAAAGAAACAGTCAATAGAGTGAATCAGCAACCAACAGAATGGGAAACAATTTTTGCAGTTTACCCATCTGACAAAGGGCTGATATCCAGAATTTACAAAGAACTCAGATTTACAGGAAAAAAACAAACAAGCCCATTCAAAAGTGGGCAAAGAATATGAACAGACACTTTACGAAAAAAGACATATATGAGGCCAACAATCATATGAAAAAATGCTCATCGTCACTGGTCATCAGAGAGATGCAAATCAAAACCACATTGAGATACCATCTCACGCCAGTTAGAATGGCGATCATTAAAAAATCTGGAGACAACAGATGCTGGAGAGGATATGGAGAAAAAGGAACACTTTTACACTGTTGGTGGGAGTGTAAATTAGTTCAACCACTGTGGAAGACAGTGTGGCGATTCCTCAAGGCCTTAGAAATAGAAATTCCATTTGACCCAGCAATCCCATTACTGGGTATATATCCAAAGGACTATAAATCGTTCTACTATAAGGACACGTGTACACGAATGTTCATTGCAGCACTGTTTACAATAGCAAAGACCTGGAATCAACCCAAATGCCCATTGATGATAGACTGGATTGGAAAAATGTGGCACATATACACCATGGAATATTATGCAGCAATCAGAAATGATGAGTTTGTGTCATTTGTAGGGACATGGATGAATCTGGAGAACATCATCCTCAGCAAACTGACACAAGAACAGAAAACGAAACACCGCATATTCTCACTCATAGGTGGGTGATGAAAAATGAGAACACATGGACACAGAGAGGAGAGTACTAAACACTGGGGTCTATTGGGGGTAAATGGGGAGGGCCAGTGGGAGGGGGAGGAGGGGAGGGATAGCCTGGGAAGAAATGCCAAATGTGGGTGAAGGGGAGAAAGGAAGCAAAACACACTGCCATGTGTGTACCTATGCAACTGTCTTGCATGTTCTGCACATGTACCCCCAAACCTAAAATGCAATAAAAAATTTTAAAAAAGGGGGGTCACCAGTCTCTTTTATTTCCTCCTTTAATTGAAATTCATGGAAACTTACTTTGTGGCAGGCTCTGCAGTAAGTACTGGGAACATAGTTGAAAGAAAGGGAGACACATTGCTGTACTTATGAAGCTGACTCTACTCTCTAGTGTTGGGGGACAATTAACAAAAACATAAATAAGTGGAGTCATTACAAATCTTGAAAAGTGTAAAGAAGGAAATAGTATATTATGATTGGGCTGAGTGGAGGAGGAGGCTAGTTAGGATTATCAAATACACCACCTTCTCTGTGGAGGAAACGTTGGAGAAGAGACCTATATGTCATGAAGGAGCCAGTCCTGTGAACAAAAGGGAAGGATGTTCTAGGGAGCAGCACTGAAAAAGGAAGTCAGAGGTGAGAAGAGCAGGCACATTGGGGATACACGAAGAAACCCCCTGCTTCAGCTGGAATTCTACTAGAGGGACTGCCAAATATAATACCAGTCAAAGACATCTTGTGTATATAATTTGTCACCATCACAACCTTAAAGAAGGAAAGCAATTCTTAGCATCTAACCTAAATGAGTCTTCCTAAAGACTTACTAGAGAACACAGGTGGGCTGTTAGCATCACACACATATTATTCCATGTCACAGAAGCTTCAGCTATTATTGGCAAAATGCATACAGAGTATCCCTTGTGTTTTCTATCTTCATTCAGCCTTAGTGACCACATGTCTCAGAGAGCCACATACCTCTTGTCTTCTATGACTTGTTTCATCTTAAGTGCCAGTGTGTCAGCTGTGACCTGATTCAACTGCATAACGACACCATAATTTTTGGCTACTACTCGGACCATGTTTCCATGCTGGTCTCCATTGACTGGTAATCCCACCATGGGCACACCATGCCGAATGGCCTCCATTATGCTGTTCTGCCCTCCATGGGTGACAAAAAGACGGATGCTGGGGTGAGCTGTGGCAAATAAGAAAGAGAGTGGAACATTTCAAGATGAAAAATTTTGGAACACCAGGTAAAGAAGAAAGGGCAGACGAAACAACAATGGAATCGTCTGTTGAGAAAATGAATTCACTGATTTTGCGTGGAAGACAGTTAAGGGTACACATTCTAGGATACAAGATTCCAGCCTCCCTCTCTGTAGAGATTCCTCACCTCAACCCCACCCATCCAAGACTCCGAATCTAGGGAAAGCTGCAGAGAAGAATGATAAGCTAGGCATATTTCTCTATCCATGCAGCCATCCTTCTCTCCCCACCTCGTCTCTCCCTTTACTTTCTGCTTCCTGTTCTTTCATAATACCTACACTGTATATGCCGTTTTCTCCATTTGAAGAGAAGTTATGAAAGCAAGGAATAATAAACCATACACTTCTACTTTTGTATTTCTAGCTCACGTCTGCCTGTACCACCCTTATTTAGAGCAAGCTAGTGATTTTTTATAATGAAGAGCTAAATCTGTGTTTCTCAACAGAAATGTGGATTAGAACCTACTTGTATCCCTTTGAAAATGAAAATATTTTTCCCTGCCCCATGTCTTAAAAATTAAATATACAGAAATCTGTATCTTAAATTACCAAGTTGACTTTGAGCCATAAACTTTGTTATGAACCTCTGATCCAGTCACTCAATATGTCAGCTAGAGGTCTCAAAAAGTATCATAAGGATAATAAAACCTATTGAAGTGTAAGGAGCTCTGTTACCAAATGACTCAATACCTAACTATGTGATTACACAGCTTGGCACAAATATTTTGGTACATCCTTCAATGCTGCCATCAATGTATGAACGTATGAGTTCTTCATGTGCTTAGTAGATAAGGAAGATGTATTTATACAGGTATATGTGTGTTTGTGTAACGGCACACTGTTAAATAGGTGGTCAGGAGGCCACTGAACAGGAGCAACATACCCCCAGATACATGCTCTTGGAGTTTACATATTGTCTTAGATTGTGTTGGGGTGAACCTGTTCAGTGTCAAATGTAGTGGGGTCAAGGCAACATGACCAGATATCATCTCTGGTTGGAGATGTCAGGCCTGGCCTCAATTAGAAAGAAAAAAAGAAAATGGCTGTTTTCACCATTTTGAAGGCTAGCCTGATTCCCAAAGAACTCTAGCTGGCTGCTCTTTTCCTGCCCTCTGAGCCTAATTTTTACTTATGAGTAGCTACTTCCTAGGCTGGTACAAATGCCCAGCTAGAGATCAGAACACTGATGAGCCCCAAAGACAGGTCAATGGAAAGAAAAGAGCAGAACTGGGCAGTCCTTACCCAGGAGATCACTCTGGGGAAGCCAGTCCATGATTTTCACATTTGTGGCCAAATGAACATCTTTAGGCCAACGAGAACTCTGACACTTCCATATCACCCCTTGAGGGAGTTGAGCAAAGGCACTGTGCATATTCTTGAGGACTTCTTGAGACTCATAGATGTCCAATGTGGAGCCAAAGGCCACAAGGACAAACCCAGCATCCCCAAAGTTGGCGATGAAGTTCTCCAAGTCCTAGAGAGAGATGACAAAAGAGAGGAGGTGACAAAATTGTTTGGGAAAGCCTAGGTAGCCATTAAATGAAACCCAGACTATTTACCAAACATATCCTCCTATCAGTGTCTTGTCTTCACTGTCCTGAAGCTGTTATTATAGCTCCTGGCACAGCTCAGTGTCCTTTGCACTGTGTTCATATTGTGTCTAGATGACCTAGAAGTCATTTTTCTGATACCTTGGAACATGATTTTGCATATAAATTATAAACTTGTGATTTTTTTTAGTTTTCTTCTCTGTTATTGATGTCTATCCCATCCTATTGTGATCACAGAAAATGCTTTGATATGTTCAATCTTCTGAAATGTATTGATATTTATATTGTAGCCTAACGTACAGACGATCTTGAGGAATATTCTGTGTGTGTTTGAGAAGAAGGTGTAGTCTGCTGTTGTTGGGTGGAGTTTTCTCTACATTTCTATTAGGTCCAGTTGATTTATGACAGCATTCAAGATAACTATTTCTTTATTGATCATTTGTGTAGATAATCTTTCCACTACTAAATACGGGGTATTGAAGTCTCAAACTAATGCTGTAATAATGTCTATTTCTTCCTCAATTCCATCAATTGTTGCTTCACATATTTTGGTGCTCTGTTATTTGGTGCAAATATATTTATAGTGCTTATATATTATTGATGATATTTCATATGTTATTTTTAAATGATACTTATAATTATTTGTGTTAATGCAAACATAAAATTTTATATTGTTATGTAATCCCCTTGTTTATCTCTTGTAAATATTTTTGACATATAATCTATTTTGTCTGATATTAGCATAGCCACCCCAGCCTATTTTGGTCCTCAGGTAATTCTTAAGAAAGATTATGATCTAATGCCCTAAAACTTAGTTTTAGCACTGTTTCATCAATTATTACTTCCAAACATTTCTTCAGACTCTTCCTCTCTCAGCATTTTTGTGATTGTCTCTAGTTCTGAGCCCCTCATCCTACTGGGTCATTCTGTAGGATGACTTGATTCCATCCAACATAAAACTGCCTGAACTACCAGCTTAATAAACAAACTGAAAACAGCTTTGTTGTCCTTATAATTATAAAATCATTAAATAAAATCAAAAGAAGCAGAGAAATAATGTGAATCACAAGCTTCATGCCCTTGTTCTTTCAGGGAAGCATTAGAAAATCAACCAGAGACTGACTAAAGTAACACCATAAGAATTTTGAAGACCAGTCAAATACAGCAAGCAACCAAATGCCCAATCAAGAAAAAGCCACTTTCAAACAGTATACATTTCTAATGCATTTTATTTACCTTTGCCCTGGAGTGACTGGCCGTAGTCCACAGGCAAAACCTCAATTCCAAGTTCCCTCCCTCAGTCGGAAGGAGCGGAATAGAAACTATTTACAACATTTTAACCTGTCTGTTGGCTACTTAGTGACAGGTTTGTCTCACCTGATTCAGAGCTCACGTTGGGAATGGTGACATAGCTCAGATTTGAAGCTAACAGAAGCCATAGAAGGCAGTGGTAGGTACCATGATATATGAAAGCTTCAGAGATACTGCAGACCTGTGAAGGCTTGGGTCAAGAGATTATGGGCAGAAGAATATAATAGATGTCTAAAGACCAAGAAGAGTCTGGGTGAGGTTCATTTGGGAAATTAAGGCATTCTAAAACAGTAGAGTATACAGAGGGAATTGGGGAAAGGAAAGCACACACAAATGTCCAGATGTGATACATAACCAAAAAATACCTAAGAAGAACTTAACCTTGATCAAAAGACTCAAAACATGCTCTTCCATGCCAGACTGCAAAGACTTAAAAAAGTAACTAGTTGTTCAAATGCCCAATTTTCTTTTTTTAAAAAAATATATATTTTATTGCACTTTAGGTTCTGGCGTACATGTACAGAACATGCAGGATTGTTGCATAGGTACATACATGGCAATGTGGTTTGCTGCCTCCATCCCCCCATCACCTATATCTGTCATTTCTCCCCATGTTATCCCTCCCCAACCCCCCTACCCCCTGCTGTCCTTCCCCTATCCCCCCACAACAGACTGCAATGTGTGATGCTCCCCTCCTTGTGTCCATGTGATGTCATTGTTCAACACCCACCTATGAGTGAGAACAAGCAGTGTTTGATTTTCTGTTCTTGTGTCAGTTTGCTGAAAATGATGGTTTCCAGATTCATCCATGTCCCTACAAATGACACAAACTCATCGTTTTTTATGACTGCATAGTATTCCATGATGTAGATGTGCCACATTTTCCCTGTTCAGTCTATCAACAACGGGCATTCAGGTTGATTCCAGGTCTTTGCTATTGTAAACAGTGCTGCAATGAACACATGTGTGCATGTGTCTTTATAACAGAAAGATTTCTAATCCTTTGGATATATACCCAGTAATGGGATTGCTGGGTCAAATGGAATTTCTATTTCTAGGTCCTTGAGGAATCACCACACTGTCTTCACAATGGTTGAACTAATTTACACTCCTACCAACAGTGTAAAAGTGTTCCTATTTCTCCACATCCTCTCCAGCATCTGTTGTCTCCAGATTTTTTAATGATCACCATTTTAACTGGCGTGAGATGTTATCTTGATGTGGTTTTGATTTGCATTTCTCTAATGACCAGTGATAATGAGCATTTTTTCATATGTTTGATGGCCTGTTAGAGGTCTTCTTTTGAAAAGAGTCTGTTTCATGTCTTTCACCCACTTTTGAATGGGTTTGTTTTTTTCTTTGAAATCTGTTTTAGTTATTTGTACATTCTGGATAATAGCCCTTTGTCAGATAGGTAGACTGCAAAAATTTCTTCCCATTCTGTTGGTTGCTGGTTCACTCTACTGATTGTTTCTTTTGCTGTACAGAAGCTCTGGAGTTTAATTAGATCCCATTTGTCTATTTTGGCTTTTGTTGCCAATGCTTTTGGTGTTTTAATCATGAAGTCCTTGGCTATGCCTATGTCCTGAATGGTTTTGCCTAGGTTTTCTTCTAGGGTTTTTATGGTGTTAGGTTTTATGTTAAAGTCTTTAATCCCTCTGGCATTAATTTTAGTGTAAGGTGTCAGGAAGGGGTCCAGTTTCTGCTTTCTGCACATGGCTAGCCAGTTTTCCCAACACCATTTATTAAACATGGAATCCTTTCCCCATTGCTTGTTTTTGTGAGGTTTGTCAAAGATCTGATGGTTGTAGATGTTTGGCGTTGCCTCCAAAGCCTCTTTTCTGTTCCATTGGTCTATATCTCTGCTTTGGTACCAGTACCATGCTGTTTTGATTACTGTAGGCTTGTAGTATAGTTTGAAGTCAGGTAGCATGATGCCTCCAGCTTTGTTCTTTTTGCTTAGAATTGTCTTGGCTATGCAGGCTCTCTTTTGGTTCCATATGAAGTTTAAGGTGGTTTTTTCCAGTTCTGTGAATAGGGTCATAGGTAGCTTGATGGGGATAGTATTGAATCTATAAATTACTTTGGGCAGTATGGTCATTTTCACAATATTAATTATTCCTAATCTTGAACATGGAATGTTTTTCCATCTGTTTGTGTCCTCTCTTATTTCCTTGAGCAATGGTTTGTAGTTCTACTTGAAGAGGTCCTTTACATCCTTTTATAGTTTTATTCCTAGGTATTTTTTCCTCTTTGTAGCAATTGTGAATGGCAGTTTGTTCTTGATTTGGCTCTCTTTAAGTCTGTTATTGGTGTATAGGAATGCTTGTGATTTCCACACATTGATTTGTCCTGAGACTTTGCTGAAGTTGCTCATCAGTTTAAAGAGATTTGGGGCTGTGACGATGGGGTCTTCTAAATACACAATCATGTCATTTGCAAATAGAGACAATTGACTTCTTTTCTAATTGAAAACACTTTATTTCTTTTTCTTGCTGATTGCTCTGGCTAGAACTTCCAATACTATATTGAATAGAAGTAGTGAGAGAGGGCATCCTTCTCTAGTGCCAGATTTCAAAGGCAATACTTAGTTTTTGCCCATTCAGTATGATATTGGCTGTGGGTTTGCCCTAAATAGCCTTTATTATTTTGAGATAGGTTCTGTCAATACATACTTTATTAAAAGTTTTTAGCATAAAGGTTGTTGAATTTTGTCAAAGGCCTTCTCTGCATCTATTGAGATAATCACGTGGTTTTTGCCTTTGGTTCTGTTTATGTGGTGAATTACGTTTACAGACTTGCATATGTTGAACCAGACTTGCATCCCCGGGATGAAGCCTACTTGATCGTGATGGATAAGCTTTTAGATGTGTTGTTGCAATTGGTTTGCCAGTATTTTATCGAAGATTTTTGCATCTATGTTCATCATGGATATTGGCCTGAAGTTTTCTTTTCTTGTTGAGTCTCTGCTGTGTTTTGGTATCAGGATGATATTGGTCTCATAAAATGATTTGGGAAAAATTCCCTCATTTTGGATTGTTTGGAATTTTTTCAGGAGTTGTACCAGCTCCTATTTGTGTGTCTGATAGAATTCGGCTGTGAATCCATCTGGACCTAGGCTTTTTTTGTTGGTAGGCTATTAATTGCTGCCTCAACTTCAGCCCTTGTTGTTGGTCTAGTCAGGGATTCAACTTCTTCCTGGTTTAGACTTGAGAGGGTGCAAGTGTCCAGGAATTTATCCATTTCTTCCAGGTTTACTGGTTTATGTGCATAGGATTGTTAGTACTAATCTGATGGCAGTTTGTATTTCTGTGGAATCAGTGGTGTTATCCCCTTTATCATTGTTTACAGCATCTATTTGATTCTTCTCTCTTTTCTTTTTTATTAATCTGGCTAGTGGTCTGTCTATTTTGTTGATCTTTTCAAAAGACATAATCCTGATTTATTAATTTGTTGAAGGTTTTTTTGTGTCTCTATCTCCTTCCATTCTGCTCTGATCTTAGTTATTTCTTGTCTTCTGCTAGCTTTTTGGGTTTTCTTTGATCTTGCTCCTCTAGCTCTTTCAATTTTGATGATAGGATATCAATTTTAGATCTTTCTTTTCTTCTCATGT